AAACCCAGGGGAAAATTGTGGATTTGTTCAAGAGGCTTGACCCACTCACAGAAGTGGTCCTGGTGAATTACATCTACTTCAAAGGTGGGCGCCCGGCTCGGGGTTTGGGAAGAAGCACGCTTTTAGCTCTGAGGCTTCAGCGCTATGTCTGTCCCGGCTCAGCCAACTGTGTTGTTAGCAAAACCTTGTAGAGGAGGCTGCCCTCTGCTCAGGGGGTGGTGGGCACCAGGTCCTGCCCCGATCGCAGGCTTTGTCTCTCCTGTCTCAGTGGTCACTGGAGGATGGAAGCGCAGGGGAGCCCACTAACCCTTTGTGTGAGGCAGAGGGAGCCTTCTTATTGTGACTTAAATTTGGGCAGCTGCCGGAAGGCAGGAGCTTTCCTTTCAGATCCCTGGGGGTGGCCGGGAACCCCAGCTTCCTTCCTGATGAGACGCTTTTGGACACGCTCAGGGAACCCTCTGTTGCCCACACTGAAAGATGTTTTGACCTGTATTGTTCGGAGATCGTCATCTATGGAGTTCCCAGTGGGGTTAGTGGCATCTTCCCAGTGAGACAGCGTCTGAGGAACCTGGCCAGCTCAAGCTTCTTCAGCTGTGCCGTCTAATCTTGAGGGTGGAAATGGCGCGCCAGCATCTGGGGAAGGACCTCGGCTAGGACAACATCTGGGACAGGACCTTCTCCCAGATTCTAGTCGGTCCAGTGCCCAGTCCCACTGACAGGATCTAAAACATTCAGTTCAGCCTGGTAATTCTTAATGATCAGAGTAAAGGGAGACAGATTTCAAACATGGAGCCAGCAGTGCAAACAGGGACAGAAATAGATAAAGACACGAAGACGTAGCACTGCGGTGGTGCGGACCTAACAGACACTAGCTGCGGGGAGACGGGCCAGCCCTGGGCCCCGGCCTCCTGCCTCCTGGCTCTGTGCTGCATCTGCGATTGAAGGCATGGGATCCCGTTTCTCCAGAAAACAAACCCAGGCCCCACCTGCTGTTTTTTCTCTGCAAGTCTCCTGTGCTTTCTTCTCCACCCACCCTGCAATGTCTTAGGACTTCCTCCTCCAAAATCTCCATCTCAGGAACACCCTAGACAACCTAGCTTTCCGCAAGTCCTGCCTCTAACCACGGGGACGCAGGCAGGGGTGACAAAGCAGGAGCAGGGGTGGATACAGACTCCAAGGAGGACCCAGGGCCCTAATCTCCCAAGACTCTCCCCGCTCTGAGTGCTCCAGTCCTCCTGAAGGGAGACCCCCACCCCTGCCCTCTCCTCTGTTGCCCTCCGCCCTGCCCTCCCGGCCCCCTTTTCGCTTCTTGCTTCAGCCTGGTTCACAAGGCAGTAGGGGAGGTGAGGGGTGTGCATGTCCCTGCAATGCCGCTGACTAACAACTGGTCGCTAACGCTGTTGCCTTTAAGGGTCAGGATGTCCCATCTCTCCCCAGACACCAGCCTCACCCCCATCTCTCCCTTGCCCTCTAAAATCCTGTTAGTTTCTCATGCAGCACAATTAGCCAGGTTTCTTCCATGGCCTCCCTCTAATCCAGGCCTGTGGGGCTCACCCCATCCCCGAGGGCTCACCCGGCTGCCCAGGTGTACGTGCAAACCCAGGCAGGGCCAACCTGGAGGCACGTGGGGGACTGTTGGTGTCGGAGTGTCCTCATCGCTCAGGGTACAGGGCAGAGGGGGAGGGAGAGGCAGGCAGCCCTTGCATTCACAGCCATCTCCAATTGCTCCCTCCACCTCTAGCCAAGTGGAAGTTGCCCTTTGACCCCCAAGTTACAAACCAGGCAGAGTTCCATGTGAGCGAGAACAGGTCGGTGGAGGTGCCCATGATGAGGATCCCGAGCCTGGTCACACCTATGTTCCGGGACACGGCGCTGGGCTGCGTGGTGGTGGAGCTCCAGTACACCAGCAACGACAGCGCCCTCTTCATCCTCCCGGACGAGGGCCGACTGGAGGAGGTGGAGGCCAAGCTGCTCCCGGAGACACTGAGGAGGTGGAGAGACTCACTGCAGCCCAGGTGACTCTCCCCAGGTCCCAGAGCTGTGGGCGGGCCTCCTGCCTTTTTGGTTCTTCCCCCTCTTCCTGGACTCCTGACCCCAGCATTCAGGGCCTGACTCACACCCAGGGGCTGGAGAGAGGTGGGAGCCTGTCCTGGGATGACCTTGCCTTTTGCTGCCTGTGTGGCTTTTGGTCTGAAGTGTTTCATCTATAAGATGATGACATTGATGGGACAGGGGGTGGAGCCTCCCTCTGACTCCAACGTGTGCTGAGTCACGAGGAATCCTCAGCACAACCCCCTCACACATGCTGTTCTGTCCTTGGCTCCACCTTGTGAAGGTGGAGGAAGGCAGATGCAAGTGGCATCAGCTTTGCACTGTCCACCCGTTACATTCACTCGTTTATTCATTCATCCACTCAACACTGGTCGAAGAGGTAAACTGAGCACCGACTGTGCATGGACTGATTTAGACACTGAGGTTAGATCAGAAAACAAAACACAAACCCTGCCCTCGGGCAGCACACTTTGTGTTTGAGGGAGACGATAAGAAATAAATTAGATACATTATTGGATGTCTTGAAAGGTGAGAAATGGGGAGGTGGGGATGGTAAAGCACAGTAAAATAATTAAGAAAATTAACCCAGAGGTAGTTTGCGATTTTAAATAGGGTGGCCATTAGGTGATGTTTGAGGTGAGAAATTGAGACATGTTGATATTTTGGGGAAAAGTGTTCCTAGCTGAGGGAACAGCCAGTGCAAAGCCTCTACGACAGAAGCCAGCCTGGTGTGATGGAGGATTAGTGGAGGCCAGAGTGGCTGGAGCAGAGGAAGTGAAAGGGAAAGTTGGGAGAGGTCAGGGCCCCCGCAGAGGGTCAGGTCATGGGGGCCATGCAGGCTCCTTGATTCAGTCCCCCTCTAATGGAAATGGAGACTCACCACAAGGTTCTAAGCCAAAGAGTGAATGATCTGAGTCACATTTCAAAAGGTTCCCCCAGGCTGCTGAGTGGAGAACAGATAGCAAGGGGCAAGCATGGGACTCATATTTAATGGGAGACACAGCCCCCCCATATTTGGCATCTGTAAGATCAGGCACCATGACAAGAGTCTTAAGGGAAAAACAGACAGAGAGGGAGGGAGGTCCGAGACATCACCTCTTTTTTCAAGAACCTGCTGCCAGCTCTGCTCAAAAGCAGATGCAGAGGCAGCTCTGCCTTCAAGCTGCTCACTGAGGAGGCAAGATGGAGACCTTTGAGAGATTGCTCAGGTCGCCAGGGCCCGTGAGCACAGCCCCCAGCCCTCCATGTCCCGCCCCAAGCCCCTGCCCAGCCCCTCACCTCCCTACTCCGCACGCTCAGGCTGCCCTCTGGGCTGTGGAACATCTCCTCTTTCTTCCCACTTCCCTGCAAGTCCGTCTGCCTGCCTCCTGCCCTCCTCTTCACCCAGCCAGCTCCTTCCCCTCCTCCAGGACTTAGACTAGATACCACCTCCTGCAGGAAGCCATCCTGGTGCTCACGGAGCCAGCCCCCCACCCCCAGCACAGTCTCCCAGCAGCTGTGGAATCCGTGTTGGAGTGAGGGTGTTTCCCCTGCCCTGCAGGCTCGAGGGGAGAAGCAGGGCCGGGCGCGGGCACGGCCACAGGCCCAGCCCTGACACACAGTCTGGCATGTAGACTCCTGCAGACGTGAGTGGATCATTAACAATTAAGAGGAGTGAGCACCAGGGGTCAGGAAACTGAGGAAAGGAGCCCTTATTTCCAGGGAGAATCTGATGTTTGGAGAGGAAACCGGGGAAGCCCATGGTTTTAGTGGGGAGAAACACAGGCGTGCAGTCAAGCAGGTGTTCAAGTTTTCTTTCTTTCTTTCTTTCTTTTTTTTTTTTCCATTTCTTAGAGAAAGAATTCATCTCCTTCTGCCAAGGTTTTCCATCTCCGGTGACTATGATCTGAAAGGCATCCTTCCTCAGCTGGGCATTAGGAAAGCCTTCACTGACAAGGCTGACCTGTCAGGAGTCACAAACACCACAGAACTGTGGGTTTCCCAGGTGGGTATTTAAACTTTGGACAACTCATGCTGTGTGTCAAAGTTTGAAAGGGGAAGGCCAGGCAGAGTTTTGGTAATCTTGAATTTGCAGAATAATTGCATTTCTTGTAACTCAATCACCCTCCCTGGACTCCCCAAGCCCAGGAGAGATGGGTTACCATGATGCTGGGGGGCAAGTCACCACCATCCTTGGAATATATGTGACACAGAAGCCCTTCATCGGGGAGGACCTGGGGTGGGATCAGCTGTGGACCCCCACCCCAACTCCATCTGTCACTGCTGCGTACAGAGGTAAATGATAACTCCCGCACCTCTCCAACTTTTCACCTTTAAAAGGAGGGTGATAGATCTTGGCTCGTGGGCACTGCCAAGCAGAGCAGGTAAGAGGTAATAGGTATTGAGAGTGGCTATCGGGCAATGGTGATGAAAATACACCAAGAGTTGGAGAGAAGAACCCTGGGGACTCTTGTGCTGTGATCCTACAGGCAGAGTAGTCAGAATGAATGGGGGATACTTGGCAGCCCCCCAAGTCACCACTGTACCCCACCCTCCAAAGGATGTGGTGAAGGATGCATGTGTGCCAAGGGGGCCGAGTGGTCCAGGGATGGGAAGCCACATCCTGTGCAGTGGTGGAGGTCCCCAGGGACATGTCAGCTGGGGCAGGAGAGGTGCAGAAACAGTGTGCACCCATCTGCTGATTCGACATAGAGGGGCTGGGAACAGTCGCTTGCAAAAAAAAAATGCCTTGCCTCACCCCTCCCACTACACTAGAGGGTGTTTTTGGGGCAGCACAGTCTCTGGATTCAGACAGAGAAGGATCCGGATCAGGGAGCCCCTGCTCTTTGCCTTTGTGACCATGGGGACATCATTCACGGCATTCGACCTCGGTTTGCACATCTGTGCGTCAGGACCAGGTGAACCAGCAGGCACGTTCATTGGGAGAAACAAATTGAACAGATTGACGGCACAGTGACAGGCCAGTGGCAGAAAGTGGATGATGGTCATTCCCCTTAGAGGCACTCAGACGGGGTGCTCACCTCCAGCCCACCCCGTCTCCAGTGGGTAATGCTCTGGTGTCCCCACAGGTGGTCCACGGCGCTGCTCTTGATGTGGACGAAGAAGGCACTAAAGCAACTGCGACCACGGGAATTAGCATGGAAAGCAAGTCCATGGACATGATCCCTGTGCACTTCAACAGGCCCTTCCTGTTATCCATAGTGCACAGAGACACCGAGAGCGTCATCTTTTTGGGCAAAGTCACAGACCCCAGTCAGGCCTAGAGCTCCTCTCTGAGCTGTGAGCCCCTTCCCTAAGGAGCTAGGTGCCCACATCTTGGGCACAGCCTGGCCTCTGTGCACCGAGGAGCTGGCCTGCCTGCCCTCCCCCCTACCTTGCTCG